GGGGGGGGGGGGGGGGAGAGGTCGCCCCTCCTTCCAAAACACATTAACCCCCTACTGGCCGAAAGAAAAGGCTTTCAAGGTCCAGTGGGTTTGGGAGGGCGGTGGGGGGCTGGGGCTGCCCTTTTGAAAATTTAGACTGTGACGGGTGTCATCCAACAAAGGTTTCCCAGACTTAGGCCTGGGGGCTCTGGGCCCTGGGCCCTGCAGGGGATACCCCTCCAAAGGTCCCTGGGTGGGCGTTGCCTAGCAACCCTGCCAAGCATCCCCCAGGCCCCACTGGGGGCCCCTCGGCTTTTGTCCAGGGACAATCGGGGCCAAGGACAAAGGCAGGAGGCTGGAGCAGGATCCAGCCTCCATGGCCCCTCATCCTCTCCCCTCCCTCCCTGTTCCTTGCATTGAAAATGCAAGAGCCTGAATGGGAACCCACTAACAAGAGTGTCCACAAAGGGTGTTCAAGAGGGCGGTGTCCACCCACCTTCTGAAGACTGTGTGGCTTAATTTTACAGTCCAGATTTCTTGGGTCTTCAAGAACCCAGGGTGGTAGAGGTCTGGAACACAGTCCCCCCCCCCCCCCCCCCCCCCCCCCCCCCGCCAGCCTGCATTTCCACCATCATAAACCCTTTCCCGGTCTGCTTGCTCCACATCATTATTTGCAGCCTAGAAGCGGCCTTGCAGGGAGAAGCGGGGTCAGGGACACTGTTCCCATCTTCCGGATGGGGAGAAAGAAGCTCGGGCTGGTGGGGACTGATGTCCCGGCAAGGTCTCAGGCCACTGCACACTCGCTCCCCAGCCTGAAGGGGATTTCAGGCCCGAGACCCCGTCCCTAGAATCCCAGGCCCAGAAGACCCACGGGGTGGGGGTGAAGGGGGATCAGTCTGGGGCCTGTGGCCTGGACAGAGAGGCCTCAGGGCCTCAGGAGCGCTCACCAGCTTCATCCTCTGCAAAGGAGATGATATGAGGGTGGTAGTTGTTAATGAGGCCTGGGAACGCACAGGTCTGGCCTCGACCCATGCAGATCTCGCTGTAGCGCCACTGGCCCGTCTCCAGGTTCTCTCGGAGGGACATCAGACGCCTGCAAAGAAGGATGAGCTGCGGGGTCCTGGCTGGCGTGCTGCCCGGGGGAACCCAACCCACAATCCCTCCATCCACTCGTACTATTCACGCAACAGGGACCATAACGTCATTTGCGGGATCCGGTGTAAAATCAGCATACAGGACCCCTTGTTCAAAAACTACCAAGTATCTCAATACAGTGAGAGCAGAACTTGACCACTGTGCGGTCAAGTGTGGACCCTTCTGAGCGTGAGGTCTGTGCATCCGCACAGGCTGCACATCCATAAGGCTGGCCCTCCATGCTCCCTGGTGGTCTAGCAGTTAGGATCTCATAAAGCGGGCCCCGCCGCATTCTTCACTGGGCACGTACTATGCACCGGGAAAGGGCGGGGGGAGGAGACAAACCTGTCCCCTGCCCACCTCAGCTTAGCCCCACCCACTGACCTGTGGTCAAGAGCCTCGGAATCCTCCATGCCTGGTGGCCGGAAGTTTGTACATACTCTGGAGCCGCCTCCACTTTGGAGATGCTTGGGCATCTTCAGAATATGCTGATCTTGCCCCTTACTCCCTTCTCCCCCCGTCCATCACCAGGCCCTGCTTGGACATGCCCTCCTCCGGGAAGCCCTCCTGACTGCCCCTGCGCCGGGCTCCCCCAGCACTGCACACAGGCTGTCTGAGGCTGCACTCGAGTGGACCCGGCGTGGGCCTGTCTCCCTGACTGGGGCGCAAGGGAATTTCAGCTCTGTCGCCCTCCCCCTGATTCAGCAGAAGGGCTTGGGAAAGGCTGGCGAAATTAGTGGAATGTGTGTGGTCACACACACATTCGAAGAGACTTGGACACTCTTGGGGGACAGCAGACGGGAGAAAGGAGACTCAGACAGAGAAACAGAGGCTTCATGGGAAACCTGAGTGGCAGAAGCGGATCCTAAGGAAGGGGCGGAGCTTGGAGAGGATCCAGCATCCAAAGGCCCAGGTCAGGGTCGGTGCGGGGGCTGACACAAACCAACCTCGGGTCAGCAGCCTGCAAGAGGTGACAATTGTCTGGCCAGCCTCAGGCTTCCTTATTTCTTTATTTCTACTCCTGGGGAACCCTGTTTAGCTGCCCTCAGGTGGAGAGGCCAGGGTGCGAAGAAGTAAGAGCCACCAAATACTGAGCGGATACTAGATTCTAAGTGCTGCGTGCGTATTAACTGATTCGGTCCCCAAACCCTAGGAAGCAACTACTATTCTCATCTCCATTTTACAGATGAGGAAACTGAAGCACAGAGAGGTGAAGTCACTGGCTTAAGGTCACACAGCTAATAGGCAGGTGGGCCAGGATCAGACCCAAGCCACCTCAGCTACACTTTTTTTTTTTTTTTTAAGATTTTATTCTTGGGGTGCCTGGGTGGCTCAGTCAATACAGTGTCCAACTCTTGATTTTGGCTCAGGTCAGTCATGATCCCAGGGTTGTGGGATCGAGCCCTGTGTCAGGCTCGGCACTGAGTGTGGAGCCTGCCCAGGATTCTCCCTCTCCCTCTGTCTCTCCCTCTGCCCCACCCCAACTCGTGCATGCACGCACTCTCTCTCTCTCTCTCTCTGTCTGAAAAATAAATAAAGGGCTCCTGGGTGGCTCAGTCGGTTAAGTGTCCGACTTCGGCTCAGGTCATGATCTGGCCATTGGTGAGTTCAAGGCCACGTCGGGCTCTGTGCTGACAGCTTGGAGCCTAGAGCCTGCTTTGGATTCTGTGTGTGTGTGTGTCTCTCTCTCTCTCTCTACCACTCCCCTGCTCACGCTCTGTCTCTCTCTCTCTCTCTCTCAAATAAATATTTTAAAAAAATTAAAATAAATAAATTTTCATTGAAAAAAAGATGTTATTTTTAAGTAATCTCTACTTAAAAAAAAAGCTTTGCTTGGGGTGGCGCCCGGCTGGCTCAGTCTGTAGAGTATGCCACTCTTGATCTTGGGGTCGTGAGTTTGAGCCCCACGTTGGGGGTAGAGATTACTTAAAAATAAGATAAAATTAAAGGAACAAATTATTTAAAAAAATCTTTTTACTTATTTAGTTAAATGTTTAAGGTTATTTATTTTGAGAGAGGGAGAGTGCATGCATGAGTTGGGGAGGGGCAGAGAGAGAGAGAGAGAGAGAGAGGGAGAATCCCAAGCAGGCTCTGCGCTGTCAGCGTGGAGCCCGACTTGGGGCTCAAACTCACAACCTGAGTCGAAACCAAGAGCTGAACACTTAACCGACTGAGCCACCCAGGCGCCCCCGTTTATTTTTGAAAACAACCTCTACACCCGATGTGGGGCTCAAACTCACGCCCCCAAGATCAAGAGCTTCCTGTCCCTCCAACTGAGCCAGGCATCCCCCTCCCCAGCAGCACTTTTAAGCTTTGTGCCAGGTGTATGTCTTGCTTGAGGCCCTGTGGTCCTCAGTTTCCTCCTCTGGACAATGGGAGGATGAGGCGGTCACGGGCTCTCCTTGGGAAAGAGTCTGACCCACAGCAGGCTTAGGAGGTATGCTCACTTTTCTCGCTCCAAAATCTGATATATCCCAACCCTCACCCCATGCTCGCGCACACACACACACACACACACACACACGCACGCACCCTTTAGGGTCTTAGCGAGTGAGATGCCACTGGCATAGAGCATGAGGACTGGGCAACAAGACTCCAGGGGCCCCGTGGTCAGACCCTGGCTGGAGCCCCGTCCTCCCCATTTCAGCAGAATGACCTCTCTGGCCTCTTCTGGGCCAATGCCCCCTGGAGCCCCGGTCAGTTAGTGCAGCAACGGGTCCTGGTTTCCTCAGAAGCCAGGTGGCCCAGAGTGTGTGCGGAAGTTGTTCATGCCCTCCCCCTTCCACCTCTGCCCTTCAGGACTGCTGTCAGGCCTGGAGCCCGGGAATCTCAGGTGGGAGGGGAAGACCGATGGGTCTGCACTAAACAGGCATCCCGTCTTTAGTGGCGAGCTGTGCCCTCACGGTGGTGCCTGAGGCAGCCAGCAAAGCGCAGGAAGAAACCAGGAGAAAAGGGGGCGGGTTAGGGTGTCTCCTGAGCTGTAACTCCAGACTTCCTCCCAGAGGAAGAGACCTGCTTGCCTGGCCCTTGAAGGTCCCCGTCAGACAGCAGCTGTAGGGAGCACGCACCTGCACGTACTCACATGCCCCGGCCACCGTACCCTCGGCTTTTTACACAAACGCGGGGGCAGCGGCCGGAGACACTCACGGCAGTGGGGCTGCTCGGGCACAGGAGCCCATGGGCCACTTACCCACTCATAAAATCGCCGAAAATGTAGAGGCCGTTCAGGTTGGGGTACTCACAGCCCCGGTACACGTAGCCTCCGGTGACCGATTTGCCCAGTTTGTGCGGGTAGGCGAATATCGGCAGGACATCATCTGCAGGGGGGCG